AAGTTAGTCTTTACTAAATCTACTTAAATACTAAATAGACTTATCTAGTTTATATCTATAATAGAGATGTAATAACTTAACTACTAGTTAATAACTTAAACTTTCTACTTAGCTATCTAGGTTTTAATCTTATATTAAGTATAAAAAAGTTTAATATATAGTATTTAAATTACTAGTAATAGAACTATTTAATCTTCTCTTTATTTACTATAGATATAATACTTTCTTCTTAAGCTAAGAAATAAGAAAGATAAAAAAAATAGATTTATACTCTTAATAGCTCTACTATAACTATAATAATATTATAAATATTATTTTATTCTTTACTTACTTAAAGTAAGCTATTCTTACTTACTTTACTTTAGTTTTTAAAGTAGCTTTTTATAACTAATTTTTTTTTAGTCTAATTTTAAATATAACTATTCTTTTTTTTATATAACTTAAATATACTTATAACTTTATTATTCTTTTTAACATTAATAAGTATAAAATAGAGATTTATAGTAGAAATATTTTTTTATAAGTAGTATTTTCTTAGTAAATTTAGAAATAAAGTTCTTAAAGAATTAATACTATATAAAGCTTTATATACTAAATAATAAATCTTATTAAAAAATTAAGTTAAGAGAAAGATACTATAATATAGTTCTAAAACTACTAGAAAGTATATTTTATATAAGTCTTAGTAAATAATAATAGTATAATCTATCTATTCTATATACTATAGTAGAGTAGATATTTACTAGAACTATTTACTAATCTAATTAAAATGTTTTCTAAGTAAAGTATACTATAAGTTTAAATCTATTAGTAGTAGCCTTTAAGTATTATAAGATAAACTATTAAAATTACTAAAAAACTATATCTTTAATTATTTTAAAAAAGTAATATAAATAATTTAAGTTTACTAACTAATAAAAATTATAACTTTAAAAAGGTTAACTAGTAAAGCTTTAGAATATAATATCTTTATAAAAAGGTAAGTTCTAAACTTAATTTAAGTATAAAAAACTTATTATAATAAACTTAAAGTACTAACTTTATAGCGTCTAATTACTAAAAATATTATCTTTATTATTCTTTATATATTTTAATATAAAGCTATCTTTTCTTAGTAAACTAATTATTATATAGTAAAAGCTACTTTATATACTATAAGATTAATTACTAGTATATAGAAAACCTATATTTTTAAATCTTAGGTATTTTTTAATCTTATACTTTGTACTATTATTCTAGTAACTAAGCTTTTAGATTTCTAGTACTAGAGCTTCTAAATTTATATTAATACTTTTATATTAAAAAAGTGCGTAAAGATATAAGCTTCTCTACTATTACTAATCTACTATAGTAGTATCTTATCTTTATATATTAGAAACTAGCTTAAATATTCTACTATTATATTATTTATTACTTTAACAAAACTATAAACGCTCTTTTCTATTCTTATTAATAGATTCTTAAACTTATTACTATTAGTTTTAAGCGCTAAATACTTCTAATCTATAATTAACTAGTCTACTTACATTTAGAGCTATCTAGAATATAAGAGAATAATAATTAAATTTATATTTCTCTTTATACTATTATATTTAAAATAGAAAGAGCGCGCTAGTAAGGTCTATATTACTTATCTAAAACTATATACGCTACTACTAAATAGAATTATATCTATAATACTTTTAACTAAAGAGGTAATCTAGATTTACTTAGAGATAGAGTTAGCTCTTAGTAAATACTTTTTTAGACTCTAGAATATAAGTAGAAATATAATAGTATTAGTTTAAAATACTACGCGTAGGTCTTTAGTTATAGTCTTACTTAGTAGAACTATTAGCTATACGCCTCTAGTGTTAAGTTTTAAAATCTTAATATACTAATATTCTAATTTAGTAAACTTACTTTCTATTTCTTTAGAATTAATAGCTATAAATAAGTTATACTATATAATATCTAGCTTACTACTAGTCTCTTTTAATATACTTTTAATCTTATCTTCTAATATATATTTAGCTTACTTACTATAGATTATACTATTTACTATAATTTAAGAATATATAAGAAGTAATTATATAAAGCTAAAACTAAAACCTTAGTTTACTTTAGTAATAATATATACTATATTATCTATAGTAGCTATTATTAGTAATATTAGTAATATTAGTGTAATATAATAGTAGATAGTAGATATAGAAGAAGAAGAAATATTAGAAGTAGCTATATAGTAGGCCTTATATACTATGTTAACTAGATATTACTATCTAAAAAGAATGTCTACTCTATAGTACTTTATTTCTAATAATAAGTATAGTATACTAATTATACTATCTTATCTATTATATTTATTATATCTATTATTACTCTACTTATAAAGCTCTTACGATTATTATAGATAGAATAAAAGCGTATATATTAATTAGTCTAACTAGAAAGCTTTATAATTAGCTATAGACTAGAGTCTACTTACTATAATTATAAAGGTTAGCGTTTTATAAGTATTACTATAGTGTGTTAATATAATACTTATATTAGATTACTACTCTAAGTCTTAGTAAGAAATAGTAAAACTTTAGATAAGTATAAAATAATTAGATAAAAGTAAAATAATATATATATAGTATAAAGTATAATATTATAAAACTATATAAAAGTAATATAATATTATTAAGAGCTTTATATACTAGCTAGTATAAGTCTTTAAAGCTTATATAGCTTTATATCTTAAAAGATCTAGTTACTACTTTAAGCGTTAGCTAGAAGTAGAGTAGCTTAACTCTACTAAAAGTTACTCTAGATTTTATTTTAAGAGTACTTACTCTAGATTATCTAAGCTAAACTATATTACTAAGTATAAGTAGTTAAAAAGATATATAAGTAAGTATCTTAGTAGTTAAATATCTAAGTAAAGTATATATACTAGTACTTTAATAGTATACTTAGACTATAAGTAATAGAGCTTAATAGAAGTTATAAATTACTATATTTAGTCTTATACTATATATAGAAGCGCTTAGTAAAAAAATACTTTTATTAATAAAAGAGATTATAAGTAAAATATACTATATAAGAGAGTAGCTATAAATCTAATCTACTTTCTAAAAGTAGTATAGTTATAGCATTTTATAAGTCTTTTATATAATATCTATACTTAAGTTTTTAATTTTACTCTTATAGAAGATTTATATACTATAGTAACTAATTAAGTAGAGTACCTAATAACACTACTTTCTAGCCTTGCTTTTTAGTAAATAGACTAGAAAAGGTTAGTTTCCTCGCGCGAAGTCTTACTAGAACACACTAAGGCATACGAAGCCTCGACAAGCAAGGCATACTTAAAGGCTTGATACCGCAAAGATCGGGGACTAATAGGAGACAAGATCCTTGCGACGTCAGCCACTGTGTCGTTGCCACGGCTCCGACACTAACGTCCTCTTCGCGGAAGGCTCATTCCATTCCGCCCAACATCTCGCCTTCGCCCTCTTCCCCATTCACTCAAGTTTCCATCGTCATCTTCGTCGTCTGTATCCACATTCCAACGTCCCTCTCTATCCCAGCTACCCCGCACACTATCCTGCCCTTCGCCATCTACGACAATCTCAACTCGACTCTCCAATACCATGTTCTCTTTGCTCTCACTCGTCGTTGTGTTCTTCAGCTCAGTTCCTCGCTCTACCTCGTCGATCGCTCGTTTGACTGCGCGCTCGTGACGTTTGCGACGGAGATAGGTATGCTCGAGTACCAGTAATAGCACGAGTAGGAACACCAGGATAGAGGCAGTAATGATGCCCGCCTTAACTGGAGTGCTGAGCTGAGAGGATGATGGAGGTATTTCCGTTGACGTAGCAGGCGGGATGGACGAGACATCTTGTTGTAAGTCTTGCGCGGATGAGATGCCGTCATCTTGTGCGGCTCCAGCTGCCGAAGATCGTGATGTTATGGTTGAATACCGCGTCAGTGCAGTGCCAGCCATTGTCTGCCGGGCTTCTGAAAAGCAGGTCTGGTCAACTCCATCAGTCGCGTTTACCAAGATGAGAACAGCACATCAAACAACACGTACCGTGCAACTGATCTTGACAGTCCCAGAAAAAGCCCGATCGTTGACCAGCGACGCATAGATGAGCTTCATTTTTGGGAACGCAGTCAGCGATGGGAACTTTAAAGTTCAATGTAATTGACAAGACTGAAGCGCGTAAGATTGAACAGAAGCATTGTCGAGAAGAAGAGGGGAAAGCGGCGGTATTGCGCTCGAACAAAACAATCACAACAGTCTCATCGTGTCTTTCTGCAGTAGTGTACCTGCAGTAGCACCTCAACGACGCAATGCCTCCAGCATCGACATGTCTTTTTCGCAGCCCGAAACAGGGTAAGTACTTTCCATTCATCGCAGCAGTCGCAATCGGAGCACTAATCTAATGCAAGGAGCTTATTATTCTACCTCAAAAGCACCATATTAACAATCGAGACCACAGATGACGGCCGTATTGCCAGTATTTGCTAGTTCAAGCCCTGAAAGGAGAGACACGATGATGAGATGCTGAAACACGCCCCTCCCGCCACGCGACGCACAACACATATGTCGTGTAACATAAACTCCAAAACAACAGTTCGCTGCATCAAATCCAAGGCGAAACTATTACTAACCGTCTCTAGGACCACCAACAATCTGTCTCCACCATGTAGCCTCGTCGTTCATGCTCCCGTCATCTCAGCATCAACTCAACGCACCCCCGACCCCTCAACAACAAGCTCCTTCCTCACGCTTAGATAACTCCCAATCTGGCATCTCAGCCCATCAAACGGTCTACCAAGAAGACACGTGAGGTAGCTAGTCGGTTCCTGCGGGTCATTCGCCGTGATCGCTGTTGCGCCGTTGAGTATGGTGGCGCGACCATCGCTACCGTCTCTGCACGAAGGAAGTAGAGTGTTAGTACAATCTGAACACGTGAATACCATCGTATCCCACCGATGCAAGAACAAAAAGGAAGTAGAGCAAAACATACCCAACCCGATAAACCCACAACCAAAAGCTCAACTCAGCCCTCCTCTCCCCAACCGCCTCATACCCCGTCATCCCAAACGACACATCACCCACCCCACCCTTCCCATCCACACAACCCACCACATCCTCGATAATCGTCCCGTTCTTCATCGTACCCTTACAGTTCCACTTCGACGCCGGTAGTGGAGCCTCCTCTGGCACCAGCACATCAAAGTCGATGGTGGAATCGAACTTTGAGCCTTCGGGCCAAGGGCCGTTGCCGGGGATGCCGGTGCTGGTGCTCATCATGTGCATGTCTAGGCGGGTGATGTGCCATGTTTCTGCGGCGGCGAGGGAGGTGTCGCGGGCGTAGAGGGGGTGGGGAGGGTTAGTGGGGAGGGCGGCGGTGAGGGAGATGAGGAGGGGGAGGAAGGTTATGAAGGGGGTGGGGAATATCATGATGCGAGTTTTGGTCTGTGATAACGATGTTCGATATTAGTGCTTTTGTTTCGAATGTTGGCTGGTTGGGTCAGGCCGAGTTGAGCGATGTCGAAAGCAATGAAACTTGAATGTCCAGCATCACAAGCCCGCACCCACGGCTGATATATACCTCTCCCACCTCCAACGCATATTCCTTCGTTGATCCCACGCCTCCATGTTTGCTCGCCACAATGCAACCTCACCCAGGTAATGCTGCGCCATGACGTGACCCTGGTACGAAGTGCATCGAACCATAGCCCCATCCCAGCCTATAACACATGTAAGCAGCGCCAGCATACCTCGTATCGTACGAGAATATCATCAGCCTTCCAGCTCAAAGGCTCGTATAATGCATCGGTACCGAGTAGACTCTGCTCAACAAACTGGTGCACGCATTCCTCAACTGTTGGTGTCGTACAGAGGGACGCTTAGTCGCATTAGCGGTCGCACAAACACGGTGTATCCAGGGAAACGATTGCATGCACATGTACGGATACGGGTACCTCAATATATATCCTGCGCGCGCTATAGGATAGCGCTGATAAGAAGGATTGAGAACATTCGATGTACAGTAAATGTCGCTGACTGCTGTCCGTCGTACCTGCATGGCGGTTGCTCAACGCCGTTACCAAACACACCCGCTGTGAGACATATCAAACCATAAACGACACTAGACTACCGTGGTATTCGTACTCGTGTTCATCCCACCCGCGCACGTATCGTAATGGTCTGCGCCACGCGATTCCAGTGCTCATGCAACTGCAACGGTCCTCCTCACTCGCAATGCAATCTCAGCCATACTGGACAAGTTCCACTCACCCTGAACGCCCTGTGCAACTGGAATGTGTTCTCCAGAGTTGATGACATGCACCTTCATCTTCTCGTGGTACTTGAGACCAGGCAAAAGTTTGGGGGTGACGAGGAAGTATTGACTCGTGTTCTCTTGGCATGCAATGTCCACCATGCGCTCGTGGACCATGCGTTCGTTGCGGGGATCCATACCCTGGTTGATTTCGTCGACGACGCGGAAGGGTGACTGGGCAAGGTCTTGTAATGCCATGAGGTAGAAGATTGTTGACACGGCGCGCTCGCCACCAGACTGGCGGTGAGAGTTCAATACGCTGAGCGGCTCGTTCTCTCTGTTGAGATCATTAGCTAGGTTTGCGTATGAGCACGATAGTCTGAGCTTACCGGAAACGGACTGAAATCTGGACGGACCAGTTGTCAAAGTCGTCTTCGTCTTTGTTCACCTGGACTTCACCCGCGCATCCAATCTGCTCAAAGTTGTGCGCGAAAGCCCCGCTGATCCTACGAATGAGAACGTCGAGCTGAGGCTCCCACTGCTGGCGGATTTCTGTGATGTTTTCTTTGATCTCTTCGAGACTAGCAGCGTACTGTTCCAGGTTCTCACGCGTTTTCTCGATGTCACCCGCACGCTTCTGATAGGCCCTGATCGCCCCAGGATTACCTTCGGCCATCATCTCTAGCCGGGCGTTGACGGACTGAACCTCTAGCTCCAAGGCCTCGAGTGTGGGAAGCTCCTTGTATTCCATGACGATCTGCCTTTCTTCTTCGCTGAGACTGTAGATGTCGCTCTGCGTAGCCTCTTGCAGCTCTCTGTACTTGGCCCGAAGAACTCGCTCGTGATTCGTGCGCTCGTTGATCTTTTGTTCTTGTGCTTTTTGTCGGTCCAGTATCGCGCTGTTCTCTTTTATGAGGCTCCTGAGCTCCGACTTGACTTCGATGAGCCGGATCTCAGCCTCGACAAGCGATTCGTGGAAGGCCCTCATTTGGGTTACAACTTTCTGTGGGATCGTCAGCAGGACTCCAGTGACCGATCGTTCGTGACTTACAGCATATTCAAGTGTCAGGTTCGCGACATGCAATAGTGTAGCACGAGCGTCGGCTTTGATAGCTTTGATGCGGGCAGTAGTTTCTGCATTTTCCTGCGTTTTGCTGTGCAGGTCGGCCTGTTTCGATGCTAGACATAGTCAGCGAACACTCCTTCTCACTTATGTAAGATACCCACCAATTTTGTCGGGTAGAGCTTCCCATTCGGCGAAAGCCTTCTTCAAGCCGTCTTGCTCAGCTTGCACAGCGTCCTACCACGTTGTCAGTATTTGGCGTCTCTGCATCCAGTGGCGGTTGCATGTACCTTCTGTTGTTTGAGATCCTCATTCTCCCCCTCGAGTTTGCTGACTTCGTCCTTGAGGATCTTGTGGTTCTCGCGTAGCTCTTCTCCCTCGTGCACTAGCCCTTTTTGTTCCTCAATGATGGCTCTCAACTCATCCGTATTGCCTGGCTGATCTACGAAAGATTGCGCTGGCCTTAGTGGTAAAACGGACGTAGAAGACTGGTTGTAGCGTGAGATCACGCGATACGTGTCCGAACCACTCACCCAGCTACGAATCGGGCTTCGCTCTTCCACAATCTTGTGTACATCATCAGATAGTGGCGTTGCAGCATACGCGATTTGATGCAGTTTACAGCCTTCGCAAAGCATGGCCAAGACCTCGTCGGGTCCTTTGACGTAGTCTAAAATATACCCCTCAAACCCGTATTGGGCCAAGCCTGCCCTGGCCATGGGCGGTTGATACGAAGAGAGGGGCTTTAGTGATGTTCGAAGATAGACTTCGCTGAGTCCCTGCCCGCCGTTGGCTTTGTTACTGAGCAGACGCTTGCCCAGCATCTTCGAGTCCTCGTTGGTGGTACAAGTGATGGCAATGAGGTCGCCCTTTTTCAATTGACTCTCGAAGGCCTTAGCATACTTGGGATCTGAGACGGAACATTCCAGTATAGGTGGCCCGAAGACTTCACCTTTTAACTGCAGAGACGCTTTGTTCCTTTGAATCCATTCCCATGCGCCAGCGGTCTCGCGGGAAATTCTCATCAAAAGGCTGGCTTGCTTTCCGCTCTGTGTGTTCAGCCGATCCTGATTAGCTTTCAGCTGCGTGTGTCGGGCTTTCACGACACCAGCGCGGGTAGCTAGCTCTTTCATGCCACTCCTTTTGTCGGAAATGAGGCCCATGTTAGTAGAGATCTGGTCGCGAAGATCTGACTTGCGCTGCTCGTAAGATTCGGCGTCGAATTGGGCGGGTTGGTCCTGTCGCTGGGCTTCCAGCCTGGTGATATCACGGTTAAGGCGAACCATATCATCTGCGCGCTTTTTCTTTGAACTCAGTTCGGCTTTGATCTGATTGTCAGTTTCCGCCGCTTTCGCTTTGCCGGTCTCAATTTTTGTCGCGAGCTTTTCAGCCTGTGTCTTGATCATGTCGACCCGGTTCTTGCGAAGGTTCACGATTTGCTCAATATCGTTCTGGTACGTTTCGACTTCTGCCTGTGCCCTTCGCGCTGGTTCTATGTCGATGTTGATTTGATCGAGCTCCAGTCTGGCGTCTCGAATCTCTGCCTTTACTGCAGTAATCTCAGTCTTGAGAATTTTCGTCTCGATGATAGGCTTGACCGACTTCAAGCATTTCGACTTCCGCAAAAGGCCTTCTCGTTGATGGTAGCGATCTACGTCATCTTTTGTTGCGGTTTGTGCCTTCTCCAGCATGTCCAGATGGCTGCGTTCGTTATTCTGCTTCGTCTCCAAAGCGCGTTCTTTTGTACGCAGTTCCTTCAACTCGTCATGCCATTGTACCATCTGCGGAGGCGCTGCAGCGCGTTGAGTCTCCCGTAATCGGTCGACGTCGCTCATCCTCGCGAACTCCACTACACGGTCTTGCGGTAAAAACTGGCAGAGGTTGTCGATCTGGATGGAATATTGTCTGGCCATTTTTTGTACATCTTGCTGCGGCACACGTGGACCGTCGAGAAAGAATTGGGACTTGTTGTCGCGCTTGCGTATGACACGCCTGACAATGCGATTGGGGCCATTGCCAGGACCCGTTGCGAGCTCGATCTCGATGGTGGCTTCGGCAGCGCCGTGTTTGACAAATTGTCCCACCTCTTTGGCTCTTCCCAGGTGTTCGCTGCCCCATCCCAGACCCAGACAGATTGCGCAGACCAAGGTACTCTTTCCTGTGCCATTGGGCCCGATGACCATGTTCAGGCTCGGCCCTAAATGGAACTCCGCAGCCGTGTATGTAACGAAATTTTCGAGCTTCACCCTGGCGAGAGAGCCTGCTTTGAAGTCGCCTTCAGTCGAGCCGTGTGCGTCCCCGTTGGTTTGCGCGGAACCAGAAGGCGCGTCTCGGCCATGGCGGGCGCGTTTGCCGTTTGTGGAAGGTGAGGACGAGGCATCGGAGGACTCGTCGAGGTCCTCGCTGATCGCGCGCGACGGGCGCTTTCGTCCTCGCTGGACTAGACCGGGCATTGTAGTGGTGTCGTATGTGGGTTGACGTAAGGTGGAGTGGGCTTTGTGATTGAGGGGACGAAAGGGCGCCCGGGCGGGCACTAGCAACTAGCGCGTCGCCCAGGATCCCGCGGTCAGGTGACTTCGTGAGGATCCACGAGATTGATTCATCGTTGAGTACAGGTTGCATTCTGCGTTCTCCGTAATCACTACCTTCATATCCGTGCATTCATCTACTAATACACGACTTCTCGAATGCATGCAACGCACTTGCCCGCCCAATAAACTATGCTATCCGAACTAAACGCCAAATCTGACAATCATACTATGACGTGTGACTCGTCTCAACTTCACAGCTTCCAGGCGCTGCGATGAACACAGAAACAGATATACGAAGGAGAGAAAGCGCCGACGCAACCAGTGCCTCGACACACAGAGCGACACGAATGTTCTCAGAATATTGTGCCAAAGTTCTCCTCAACCATGGGGAGCGGTTTCCTCGGGCTCGATGGTTTGCCGTTCTCGTCGGCTGTCTTCTTGTGACGGAATGTGACTACAGTATGATTAGCGATTGACATCAACAAATTTGAAGATCAAGACTTACATCCTACGAATAGACCCTTGCCCATTTGGACGTTGCGGTCCTGCATGGCCTCCAAAGCAGCCTGCTTCTCGTGTACCT